TTTCATTTTCTTTTCTTTCTTTTTATTTAATTCTGGCATTTAAACTCTCGATGTAGGGGAGCTCACCATGATAGGATAACTTTTATTTTATATATGTTAATGTGTGTTTGCTCTGAGGAAGGCTAAAAAATGAGCCGAAACATGTAAGCGCGTTTAGTGAATAAAGAAGTTTCACTCTTTATAAGTGTATTATTTGCGCGACGTCTTCTGCGCCCGACTCCTAGTGCTCTTATTCTTTCCAATTCTTTAATTAATAAATAAATATTTGGCAATAAATTCTTCATGTAATGATAGAGTAAGGTCGTACTAATAGAAAAATACGGGATATGTTGAATTGTTTAATTACAGAAGTTAGATTTGATGATCATAAAACCATAAGGCATGGAAAATCGTAATATGAGATACCCAGGGTTTCTTTAATATGAAATAACCCATGCTCCTATGTATAGTGAAAATCGTTGCCAAAAAGTAAATGTTATTATACTATAATAAAAAGGACAACCGAAATAAACGTCGAGTGCCTATTTCTGCGATGTTTGATTCCAATTATCTGAAGACGAGTTCTGGGTATAATCTATCGCGTGCTCATTTTTCACGCACGCTGGCTGTATTTGTTTGCATTTTAGAAACATGAAATAAAGTTTTTTAATTGCAATACTGATATATTTTGCGTTTTACTATTGATTTCTCGGGGCATCTCATATCAGGAGCACAATTTTTTATCTTTGTGATTCGCTCACATTTTACATTACTTTAATTTAAAAAAAAAATGGAATTTGAATTAAATTTTATATAACATAATCTTAAAGCTTATTAAATTCCCTTCAAAATGGCCTATTATTTTTTTAAGTTCTGCCTATAGACTTCTAGCATTTATCCAAGATGAATTCGGTATCTCATAATAATAGGGGCCTTTCCTCTATATATTAGGTGTTAAACTTAATTCCTGCCGTTTTTCGTCTCCAAAATTGATTTGTTTCGAAGGGAAATATTATCAAAGTACCTTAATCAAAGTATTATTAATAAAGTATTATTAATTAGTAATAAAGTAGAAAATGGAGGAAATTATTTTGATTAAGGTATTCATTCATCTTCCCTTTGAAACAAATCAATTTTGGAGACGAAAAACGGCAGGAATTAAGTTTAACACCTAATATATACATATATATAAATGTGAATGTGAATATAAAATATGATTTTTTTCTATGCAAAGATGGCAGAGGTGACTATGTGGAAAGAAAAGACAATTGAAACGCGCGGTAGTAGTGAGTGATATTTAATATTGAAACGCGCGGTAGTAGTGAGTGATATTTAATTTTAAATATATAACTTAATGCCATAACAATAATATTTTTAAGATTTGCTGTACTATATATATGTATATATATTTCTAAAAATGTGAACGTGAATATAAAACACGATTTAACGATATTACAACATACATATAATGTTCCTACATGACTCTTTGTATCTAAAAAAAGCATCCTTTTTCAATAAATTCTTTGGCGTTTTAATTAAACGCAGCGTGAAAATACATTCGCAAGATCGGTATATCATGATGACGATGTTTGATTCATAAATTCGAGATGCGATACATTTGATTTGATACATTTAATTAAAAAAAAAAAAAAGAAATATAGATTTCGCCGAGAGGATTGCTTTTTCCTTGCAGAAATCCAATTTAACATTGGTCAATTTAATATTGAAAATTACTTATTTTAGGTATTAAAAGCATTGAA